AATAAGTGGTATTTCTCGAGAGGCCACTCCATGCAGAGCACTTTGTACGGAGAAGAGTTCTTCTCAGAGCATTTGGACACCACGTCGCACTCTGGAAACAGTCATAGTTCGTGCTTTCTTTGTTGTGCGGAGTGGTAGCGTCTTCCTTCCCTCCCACATCGCTCCTCTTCCAGGAGTTTACCTGTGTTTGGGATCCACTGTGGTTGCGAGATATTTTACAGCCAGCACTACAGGGTTTATACAGACAACAGGTTTAATTCACTTCAGTTTAAAATGTTTTAGGAAATAAGTTCAAATCTGAGAAATCAAGATGTAGTGAGCCCAGCCAGAAGAAGTTCCAGAACTGTAAAGGGCACGGGAGCCTCAGATTCTTCAGAGAGATTTCAGACGACCAGAAGGTACTGTGCCCAGTGGGAGGATTGTTTAAAAACAAAAGTCCCTTCTTAAGTCAGCAACAGTGCTAGGACATCGAAGGAACCTAGCTCTCAGAGTTACTAGTGTGTGCTTTATGTTGTGTGTGTGCTTTATTTTGTTAAGACCACACGTGAAGATAATGTTTAACATTGGGAAGGCTCAACTTCTTCCCGTACTTAAGTCTGTGAAGGAGAATCCACTTTTCCTAATTTCAGCCTCTTCCCCCTTTTTCTCTCCTCTTCAATTTCCTGCATATTTTATCAATTGTTCAAATTGTTCTCCATAAGCAGGTATACCTACTATATGATGATGTAGTCATGCCCCTCCTAGGTATTTAACCAAAGGGAATGGAAGCATGTGTCCATACGAAACTGTACACAGATGTTCATAGCAGCTCTATTCATAGTAGCCAAGAACTGGAAAGAACCCAAATGGCCATCAGCGGATGAATGGATAAACAAATTGTGGTATGTCCATACAATGGAATACCTACTACTCAGCAACACAAAGAAATAAACTGCTGATAATTATAATAACCTGGATGAAGCCAAACAAAAAAGAGCTGCATGACTCCATTTATAAAAAATTCTAGGAGGCCGGGCACGGGGGCATGCACCTGTAAGCCCAGCACTTGGGAGGCTGAGGCAGGAGAATAGCCGTGAGTTTGGGGCCAGTCTGGGCTACATAAGCAAGTCCAAGGCTACCCTGCATTACATAGTGAAACCCTGCCTCAGGAAAAAAAAAAAAAAAAAACCTAGGAAATTAATTTTAATCTATAGTTTCAGAGAGCAGTGCTTGCTTGAGGAAGGAGGTGGGGTGGGAAGGACAGCTGCGGTCATTAGTTTGATTGCGGTGAGAGTTTCGCAGTTGAATACTTATGTCAAGACTTTTCTGATTGTACCTTTTAAAATGATCTTGATTAAAAGTCAGTTATCCCCAATAAAACTATTATTCAAAAAAGAATAAGAAAGAAATTGATCAGTTTGAATGCACAGGGAAAACCAGATGGGTGGGGATTGAAATGAGGCCATTTGACATTCACAAAAGGTCACTGCTGTCGCCGAGGGTAGTTCCCCTGCCTGGGTCAGGGACAAAGCTAGAGTGCTGGCCTTAAGAAGCGAGAGACTGACACAGCAGAGTGTGTATTGCCTTTGCATTCATCTTCAAGGGCTGCTGCACTAAGCTTAGGCGCTAGGAATTTCTCTTCTCACGGTTCTGGAGGCCGGAAGTCTGAGATCAAGGTGCCGGCATTCCTGTTTCTGGAGAGGGCTCCCTTCCCTGCGACTTCTGCTGTGTCCTCACGGGGGTGGGCAGACGCAAGCAAGTTTGATCAGAATTGAGGAAAAAACTTGAGAGAGATGATTAAGGAATAAAAAGAGGTGCGGAAACATTTGTATGAATGGAGGCACTGGGGGAAAAAAAGGCAGCAACTGAGGGTAGAAACGAAAGCTGAGGGTGGTCAGAGAGGAGAGGGAGGGTTGGGAGGCCGCCCTGGAGTCAGGGCTCGATTCAGCGGCATGCCCCAGGAGGCGGGTTTTGTTCTGCAGCATAGGGCAGGGAGATCACCAGCGGAGCGTCTCCCCAGGACTGCGCGCGAGGCATGCGTTCTCCTCGCCCCGCTCCGCGCCTCGCCCGCCTCCCTCGTCCCCCGAACTCCTGTTTTCGCCTGTTTCCAGCAGTCTGCGATACCCGAGGGGGCTTCACAAAAAATAAATTTGGGAACTGTAGATTTCTTTGCCGATGATTTTTCCCCTTACTCTCCTTACTGGATAATTCCTTGTTCCTCTCATTGAAAAAGAATGGCCTTCCCTGTGAAAACTTGACCTTTTCCTTTTAGTGAGTAGTTCAGAAAAATCTATCTTTTCTATGTTTCTATGTATTTCTAGACTTCCAGCCATTATGCCCTGCTGCTCCAAAACAAATGGAGTTGGAATATTGGAAGATACTGATTTCCCTTTTCTCTTCCCCATCATCTTCCCCTCTCCCTCCTTCTCCTTTCCACCCTCATTCCCGCTTCATCAGTATAATGCGCATGCAGTTTATAGCCCCTCCTGTTTAGGTGCTGTTAGCTATGAAATCAAATCCATCAGTGATATTCTTTTTCTTTTTTTTGCTTCAAAAGGTTGTGTGGTATTTATTTATTTAAAAGAGGTTTTTTTTTTGTTTTTTTGTTTTTTTGTTTTTTTGTCTTTTTGAGAAACGGTCTCACTATGCAGATCAGGCCGACCTTCAGCTCACTGTGTAGCCCAGGGTGGCCTCGAATTGGCAGCGATCCTCCTGCCTCAGCCTCCCCAGTGCTGGGATTACAGACGTTCACCACCATCCCCGGCTTAAAATAGAATTTTAAAAAACAGTAAAAGTGATACAGAATTTCAAAACAAGATGATAGGAAATTAACAATGATTGTTGTATTGCATATTGTTATCTTCAAAGTAGTTGTTCAGATTATCAGATATAGGCATGCAAAATTGATCATACAATTAGGCATTAACTGTGCCTGTCAATAAACCAATAGAAATTTATAGTACAATTATCTTAGCTGTCTTGTGTGTGTATATATACATATACATTTTTCCCCTTCTTTCTTTTCTGCTTTCCCCCATCCCAGTTGTTCTTTCCTTTTGAGCAGGTTCTTTCCCTTTCACAGTATCTATTGTCCCTTTCGGATTTTATTTACTCTTTCCATTTCTTACACTAGGGAGACAATAAGTGGTATTTCTCGAGAGGCCACTCCATGCAGAGCACTTTGTACGGAGAAGAGTTCTTCTCAGAGCATTTGGACACCACGTCGCACTCTGGAAACAGTCATAGTTCGTGCTTTCTTTGTTGTGCGGAGTGGTAGCGTCTTCCTTCCCTCCCACATCGCTCCTCTTCCAGGAGTTTACCTGTGTTTGGGATCCACTGTGGTTGCGAGATATTTTACAGCCAGCACTACAGGGTTTATACAGACAACAGGTTTAATTCACTTCAGTTTAAAATGTTTTAGGAAATAAGTTCAAATCTGAGAAATCAAGATGTAGTGAGCCCAGCCAGAAGAAGTTCCAGAACTGTAAAGGGCACGGGAGCCTCAGATTCTTCAGAGAGATTTCAGACGACCAGAAGGTACTGTGCCCAGTGGGAGGATTGTTTAAAAACAAAAGTCCCTTCTTAAGTCAGCAACAGTGCTAGGACATCGAAGGAACCTAGCTCTCAGAGTTACTAGTGTGTGCTTTATGTTGTGTGTGTGCTTTATTTTGTTAAGACCACACGTGAAGATAATGTTTAACATTGGGAAGGCTCAGCTTCTTCCCGTACTTAAATCTGTGAAGGAGAATCCACTTTTCCTAATTTCAGCCTCTTCCCCCTTTTTCTCTCCTCTTCACTTTCCTGCATATTTTATCAATTGTTCAAATTGTTCTCCATAAGCAGGAAGAGTTATAGGCCACTCTGGATTTTCCATATCTATGCTAAGTGGAGAAACATAAAACTGGCACTATTCTGAGGAAGGTTTTGCTACTGTTTAGAATAATAGGGCGCTGGGGATATAGCTCAATGCACAAGCACCTGCTTGGCAAGCACAGGGTCCTGAGTTCAATTCCTGGTACCAAAAAAAAAAAGAGTGAATAATAGGATGGTGTGTTATAAGAGAAGCATGTTCTCCATAGAGATACATCTGTACATTAGGAATGCCCTATTATGCCTTGATCTTTTCACCATGACAGAGAGATATTTATTCATAATAATCATGATTCCTTTTAGCTTTTTATTTGAGGTCTACAAAGAATAATCTAATTCTGGCAAATTCTGGTAAAATGAAAAATAATGACAAAGTAATTCTACCATTCAGGATGCCATTAATCTGACACATGGCCAGGGTCCAGGCGCCTTGAGCTCACATTCCCAGTGTGTGGAAGGGAGGTTTGAGGTCTGCGTGCCTATGTGATAGGCCCCCTGGGAGGCCGCTTCAGTACCTGTACCCTATGGTCAAGGCCGGGAGGGCACACTGGGCCAGGCCGGGCTATGATATTTGGGACCAAGGAACAACTGCCGACGTACACCTGAGGGACGGTAGGGCCTATAGGAGGCGTGGCGCACGTCAGCGGCCTGGGTAGATAATCAGAAACATGTTGTCCCATGTCCACGCACCCCACCCTGGGCTCGGTGTCTCTCTTCACTCTCAGGGCTCCGGAGGCCTTTGTGTCTATTCAGCTGGAAAAGGTGGGGCTGAGAGATGCCATGCTGAGCGCCTTCCTCCTCCGGAAGCAGGCCGTGGGCGACGGGATGAAGAGCCCAGTGAGTGTGCAGGGAGAGGCGCTCCCTGAAGCTCTGGTCTCGTTTTGTATTTATGCAAATAAAAATCCTGAATGCAGAATCTGTTGCTTTCAACCTATTTGGCTAAACCTATTGAAAGTCAGTGGTGAAGCCCAAAAAGGGAAGCACAATCAGGAAAAGTGTCAGTTTGAGATTGCAGTCAAGATTTTACAAATGCGTGTATTTTTGCAAGGCTGTAGTTGGTTTTGGTACTTTCCAGTACGACTAGTTTCAGCGGCATTGCTGGAGCATTTCTCTACTGCTGAGCAACCCGCTGGTGGGGCTCTGGCCATTATCTTGGTTTCTGTTTAAGGGTCCTGAATCTTAGCCTACTTAGTTGAAAATACTATAAAATTCAAGCTTTAACCAGTTAAACTCATTGCTTAATTGTGTAGATATCATTTCATTATTCAGGAGTTTTTTTGATGAGGAAATGCTAAGGCATAGTTCTTTGGGAGGAAAATGGTAATAGTTATAATCTCTAGACTTTGTCCCTGCCTGTGACTGAAAAGGAACCACTTTGCCTAATCCAGTTCTGCAAATGGGATATGAGGGAGGCTAGATCTTCTAATTACTGATGAGCGATGTTGGAGGCAGAAGGGCCCCTTTCAATAAACAATTCTGAAAAATAAAATTCACCAAGTGAGAAATACAACATTTCATTAACTACCCTTCAGAATTATCCAGCACCTTCTAGAGCAGAAAGACTTCAGGCAATATAATGATCCGTTTCCTCAGGGCCTGTAAGTAAGTTGGTCTGTTACTGTTCTATGGCTGCTGGAAGAAGACCCAAAACTCCTGAGTCCGAGACAAAGACCTTTATTACAGCAGAGCCGGCAATGTGAGCTTCACGTTTGCGTCAGTTCCCTCTGCCTGCCTCCCACAGGGACAACATGAAGGATCTCACATGCAGCCAGTGGGTTTGTGGAAAACACTGAGCTGTGAGGAACCCACCTCTTGGATAGCAAGCCTGCCCTTTTTCCTAATGGGAGACAATATCCCCTCACCCCTCAGGACTGCTCTATGCAAACACGACCCTGGAAAACAGTCCAAGTAAAGACTGGTCAAGCCCTTGCCTTCTTCACATGCTCAACAGATATGTAGAAGCAGAAGAGACCCATGGAAGACTCTCTCCCCACAAGTTTACCTCCAGAAAGAATGTCTAATGTGTGTGGCCTTTTCGTGCTTGAAGTTGGCTAAGTTTGTACATCAGGATGGGTGGCCCTCTCATCCAGCTAACAGAACAACCACCATGTTCTTTTATCACAGGACACAACCGCGAAGATCAAGAGGGACGTTATAATTGAATATTGTCAAAAGTAAGTATAGTGTATTTGAGTCACACAAGTCGATTTCTCTAACCAGCAATATTATGTAGCAATCCAGACAATGAGCCAGGTGCTTTATGCTTTAATACACCACAGGCATATTGGGTCGCACCAAGCTAGTGTCCGCTCACATGAGAAGAGCCTGAGAAGTAAAAGAGAGGGGGAAGAGCTTCATGCTCTGCTTTCAGCCAATACCACCCTGACCGGGATGGAACTTTCTGTTTGTCAGAGATGCTTCATTCTTTTTGAAAGGTCCTCCCGGGAAGGGTACGCTGGAACTTCGGTGAGAGGTGGAACAACTCGGGTTCTTCTCCGGAACACCATCTCTTCTTTTCACTTTCAGGTTTAGCCGCCGCATGTCTCATTATGCTCTTCGGGGTCAGATCATGGCATACTGCAATAGCCTGAGAGCTCTGCTGGAGGATTTTCCTGTTATCAAGGATACCTTCTTCATGGTGGGACAACCACAAGAAAAGAAGGGGTTGAGGGATTCCAAAGAGGGCCTCAAGGCTGACCCCAGGTGTGTAATGTCTTTTAGAGTGTGTTGCTATGCCCCATCTCTCCACAAGAAGAGCTGTGTTTAGTATGAAAACCTTTGCTCCTGTAGCTTGAGTCTTAAGTATTCCCGAAAGTCTGTGTGACAAAGGCCTGCTGCTCAGGATTACACTGTTGAGAGGTGGTAGAGCATTTAAGAGGTGAGGCCTAGTGGAAGGTGTTCAGGCCATTGAGGTTGTGCCCTTGAGGAGGATTGTGGGGTCCTGGTCTCTTCCTCCTCCTCTCTTTCACTTCTTGTCTCTGAGGTGGGTGATGTTGCTCCAGCAGATACTTCCACCACAATGCACTGCCTCACCCAAAGTAACCGGGTCAACTGACCATGGACCAAAACCTCTAAAACCGTTAGCCAAAACAAACCTTTTCTCTTTATAGTTGGCTACCTTAGGTATTAGTTATAGAAACAGACACCTGACTAACGTGCTGTTCCCCCATACTGCACCTGACCTCAACCTTCCAGTCTAGGAAGGCAAAAGAACAAGTAAACACTCCAAGAATAAGAGCATCTTTTTATCTGAACCAAGAATGAGTTCTTATTTATAGGCTATCTGACTGTTTTGTTTTGTTTTGTTTTGTTTTTAGTCAATACAGTTTTCTTTCCCCTGGGGGACCTCAAAGATTTTCATCACTCACAACCTTTTATATGAACTATGATCTGAAATAACTAAGCTTGATTTTGAGCTGTCCAAACTTCAGATATTCTATTCAGTAGAACAGAAGAAATAGTGAGGAGAAAAAAAAAAGCTGATAAACCAGTGCCTTAAATAGTGTCCTATTTTTCTCTGATTAAATATAGATGATGAAGCGCCTGCCTGGCAAGCGTAAGGTCGTGAGTTCGGTTCCCGGTACCGGAGAAAAACAAAAAAAAAAAAAAAAAATATATATATATGATGATGGCGATGTTGATGGCGATGTAGACGTAAATAGATAATAGTGATAAGAGCTGCCTATGTACTTCTTAGCGCCCTTTATCTAGTTTTCCAGACGTTCCTGTTTCAGTCTACCTAGAGTTCACCCACAGGGCTGGAGGAGTTAGCACTCCTGTGTGGTACTAACCACATTTCCTTTTTTAAAAGGGGATGTATGTGGTATAGAGCTGTGTAGCATCTGGGCAGAGAAGCAAAAATGCCCTGTAGAGTGAGCTTACCTCCCCCGCCTATTCTTTCCCTTACAACAGAGTTTCACTAAGAGTAATACTTTGAAAAGATATGATCATAGACCGGAAAAGCGGAAGAGAAGTGAAAGGTCACTTGTACCACACACCCTTTCACTCACTCATTTGTTCATGCATGCACTACACAACTAACAGTTATTCAGTGTTTACCCAGTACCAGGAACTTTGCTATAAGTTAGTTACACAGGTAAGTCATTGACTGGCAATAAATTCAGTCTAATGGGGAAGCTCTGTAAATAAACAATTCATTTCAGAGACAATGCTCTGTGTTAGAGGGGTGTGGGGAGGTCTGTGAGGGAAGGAAGGTGGGGAAGACATGTTTAACTGTACCTCAGGGCCTCAGGGAGAAATTCAAAGATGAGATGACAGTGAAGTTAGAGTTTCCCCAAGAAAATGCAATGATTGAGGCTAGAGAATAAAATAAGCTGAAGTCCTTAACTGATAACTGACCATCAGAAGAGCGGCCAGTCCTACCTTGAGCCTTATGAGGTGCTCGGTTTGTGGGTACCAGTGTTTTGTTTTATGAGCTCAGCCAGTGCTTTCGTTTGGGTAGACTTTGGGATTTGCTTACAGGAAGAATGCACTGAGGAAAGAGGGAGGAAAGACATTTCAGGGGTTCATCTTGCTGAACGGTTGACTGGACAACTTGATCCTCGGCGAGGCTGGAATGCACCTTGCTCCCATAAGAGACTCTTCTAAGGCTTCTTACCTCCATCCCTTTATTACCCTCTACCCAGGCTGACTGCTTGTAAACCCAGTCTACATTTGGGATCACACTTTAAAAGTTCTGTCCAGAAATCTAACCCCGAATTTACTGCATCTGTGTTTAGGATGAGCCGTGTTCAAAGTCTGCTTTCACTTCCTGTCTGTTTAATTTGCAGCAACCAAATAAGGAGGTCTGGATGTGAATGAGAGGAAATGTCTTTCTACCTTGCAGGTGTTTACTCTTTTCTTTTAGTTTTGTATAGCTGTGTTTCCTAAAGGTTAAGGGAAATAGTCATTTGAGCTAGAGAGCCGGCACCCCTGACCATGCTGCTTGCCTCAGAGCACAGCCTGAACACGGCAGTCTTAGTGGCGCACTCCGTATGGCGGTGTTAGAGCCGTCCTCTCTGCACAGCAAGGGAAGTAGATAATAAGGGCGCACTGTGACGAAGAACAAATCACCCAGCAAGCAAGGCGCGGTGTTATCGGAAGGACGGAGGAAACCGGGCTGGGAGCACGGAAAGCTTCGGGGGAGAGGGCCCGCTTCATTAACCCGGGTCTTGAGTGATGAGTGTGCTCCAGAGGCCAGGAGAGGGAACTGTGCTCGTACGGGAAGAGCTACAGGGACAAAGAATTCGAGGGTGCGTGTGCTTTGGGGGCCCCAGTTACTGAAGACCTCACAGAAGGTTGAGTCTCTTCCTCAGCGATGCGGCGCACAGCTGAAAAGGAAACCGAGAGAAAACTGCAGTTGTGAAAGAGCTCTGCGATGGCAGAACACAGGGTGATTCTCCACAGCAGCTCCCAGCTTTAAGAATGTACAAGGACAGAGGCGCGAGTGCAGTGTGGGCAGAGGGTCGGGTCAGTGTACGGGAGCGGTCACTTCTGCAGACAGCTACAGGAGAGGAGCAAGCACTAGGACATCAATCTTTTATATCGGCCTAATGGGTACCTTAGTATGCTGCTCTGAGCAACTTTTACTGCTGAGAAAAAGACTTTGTTTTGACTCTGTTTTTTTTTTTTTTTTTCTGGTACCCGGAATCGAACCCACAACCCTGCACTTGCCAGGCAGGCGCTGTGCCTCTGACCTAAACCCCCAGCCCCTTGTTTTGAGTCTTAATGCTTTAATACTGCTGGGTTCCCTTGTCTCAGCCCCTCCCCTCCCTGGCCCTTGCCTGGGGGAAGTGGCCGCTAACTGGGGAGCAATGCTGGCCCTCGGATTACGGCCTCCCCGTCAGTACCTTAGCTGCACTCCAGTTGCATTCTCTAGGCCAATTAGAAAGAAATTTATCTCTCTACAGCTAGCATTGCCTGTATTTCTATAATTAATATGCCAGGGTTGATAGCAGGAAAAGGAAAAAGGTTGTGTCGGGGGCTACAGTCGGGGTCTTCAGCTCGGTGGTTCTCCACAGTGCGGACGTCTGTGAGGCTCATACCCACAGTGTATGAGGACAGCGACAGAAAGTGGAAGACGCAGAGGGGTGGGAAAGACCCGGATGTCTGGTGTTCATCCTTCAGAGAAAAGGAGAGTATGACTATCAGTGACACCACTTACGAAGTTACTAAAACTGTGTAGACAAGAGGCATTTAGGGGGTGGAATCGGCTGGGCCAGCTGCCAGACTCGATGTGGAGCCAGAGGAGAAAGAGGAATCGGGGATGTCATCCAGGCTTGGGTGGGAGAAGAAAGAAAAGACACCAGTGCCGTTATTGTTTAATAGGAAGAGAGTTTAAATTTTGGAAGATTAAAAAAGGGTTCTAGCCAGGCATGGAGGTGCATGCCTGTAATTCCAGCACTCTGGAGGCTGGAGGCTGAGGCAGGAGGATCGTTGTGAATTCGAGACCAGTGGGGGCTACAAAGTGAGCTCAAGGCCAGTCTGAACTGAAGAGAGACCTTGTCTAAAAAAAAAAAAAAAAAAAAAAAAAAAATTACCCTGTATTTTAGATGAGGAGGCTCAACCACGGCAACTGTGTAAGACTGTACAGTCGTGGGTGACAGAAACTGAGCTCAAAATCAGGTCCTCTGATGCCAGACTCCACACCCTGCGAACCACACACGTCTCCGGCTGCTCCTCTAACACAGAGGAGCACAGTTCGTTAGATGTGGTGACACCGGGTCCTTCAGGTGGGATTCCAGGGTGCCGCCTGCTCCTTGGCTGATGCAGAAACCAGATCACAAGGCCATCCCCCTAGGGCTTCCACCTGGGTGAAAGTCACAAACAGGCACAACCTGTTACTTCTTACTGATGCGTTCATTTGTGGTAAAACCACAGAGAGACGCAAGGCACTAACCAACGTAAGATTAAAGGGCGTTGATCTGGGGCCCACAGGCTTCAAAGGTGCCGGTGACATTCTACCTCCCAGGCCAGGTTCCTGGCTTTGTGAGCACCCTTACGCTAGACATCTCTGGATGCCCTGCCTGCCTGTCAACCTGCCTAACAGATGCCGAGGTACTTGCAGGAGGAGAGGCCAGAGGCTGAGGAACCTGGCAAGGAACACGGTGGGAAGGCAGGAAAACGAAACCAGGGTCTGCAGCTTGGATTCTGCAGCCAGGCAGAGGTGCATTTAAATCCTAAGTTCCTGTCTCAGGATTGGGTAGGCGGGAGCTAACCTCTCAAGACCTCAATTTCCTCAGCTGTGAAACAGATATAAAAATAGATCCATCCTAAGGTTGTCAGAAGCATTCAGTGACATAAAATCTGTAACACCCAGGATGGTGCCAGCTCCCTAAATCCTGCCCTGCTTTCCTGCTCTGCCCACACCTTGCCCTCCGCCATACCCAGGCCTTCCTCCCACACAGCTCAGGCTAAAATCAGCCTGGTTGCTCTTCTTCCCACTGGGCTGTTTATAAATAACTCTGGCCACCTGGGAGCAGAGTCAGGGAAAGGAAGGTTACTGTCCTTGGGTTTGGACGCGGATGGGGCCTGTGGTGACAGGGCCTTGTGGCCTGCGGCCAGGGCCTAAGTAGGTCCTACTCAGGATGCCTCCGGTGTGGGGGGAAGGGCTGTGCCACGGTGCTTTCTTCTAACGCTGCAGGAGTTTTCAGCGCCGACCTCGGAGTTTGCTGTCGGCGGACGGACAGATCTTCCTCAATTTATGGTTCATCCCGCATCCTTCTGAAGTGCTGCTTATGTTCAAAGCCCTTCCAGAAAAGGTTTGTGATGGTTTTTTATGCCAGAATGAAAACTGGCATATGCCTTGCAGTTCAACACATCCGTCGAAGAGGATGTCTCATGTATTTTTTCTTCAGAGACGTCTATTAACTGAAATTTTCACAGCTTCTGCTTTTGTTTTTGTTTTTTGTCTTTTTTGAGACAGGGTCTTGCTATGCAGTTCAGGCTGGCCTTGAGCTCACTTTGTAGCCCAGGTTGGTCTCGAGCTCACAACAATCCTCCTGCCTCAGCCTCCTGAGTGCTGGGATTACAGGCATGTGCCACCACACCTGGCCGTTCCACAGCTTCTAATACTTTTGCCTGCTTTATTATATTTTCTCTTCGGCGTCATTATTTCATGAGTTCCATTTTCCCCTGGTCATGAATGAATACTGATTTGGGCTTCTGACTTTGTTTACTAATACAGTGTTCCCTCCCAAACCCTTCAGCAGAACCCCACCCTGCTGCCCTGTGGCTGATGAGAGGTGGAGGTCACACTTGTAACACAGCTGGTGGCTGGTTTTTGAGGGTGACTCTAAGTATCTAACTTACAGATAGAAGTCGTATTAGTAATCATAAAAAAGAGAATCTAGAAGCACAAAACACATCAGCATGAACTAACAAAAGTACAATGTTGAAAATGGCATTTGAGGAATATTCTGATTTTTCTTCTTTTTTTTTTGAAACAGGGTCTCCCTGTGTAGTTCAGGCTGGCCTTCAGTTCACTATGTAGCCCAGGCTGGCCTCAAACTCACAGTGATTCTCCTGCCTCAGCCTCCCAAGTGCTGGGATTATAGGAGTATACCACCACACCTAGCTCTTTTTTTTTTTAAATTTGATTTTTCTTCTTAAATGAAAACTTGTTTGGCAATAAATGTCTCTGCTTTCAATCAGGACAATGTTATGTGAATGTGGTCCTTACTGTGAATTTATTTGTGACCTTTATAATTTATTAATGGCCATAAAAGCACATTTTGGTGTGTTCTTGGCCACCAGTGATCTTAAACAAAGACAAACACATTGCTTTACTCCCACACAGAGGAAAGTGCCCTTGTCCAAAGCGCATGACCGTGGTTCATGGGTAAGTCTACTGTTTTCTCTTTCAGATCTTATCCCTCGTACACTGTGAAAATGTCTATGTAAACACAGTTGGCCTCCGTGCCGCAGGTTCCACATACAATACTTTCCACTGATGGAAAATATTTAGGAAAAAATTACATCTGTGCTAAACATATACAGATTTTTCCTTCCCTGTCATTATTCTCTAAACAATACCGTATAATAACTATGTACATAGCATTCATACTGGGTATTCTGTCTAGGGGTGGTTTAAAGTTTACACGAGGATGTGCACATGCAGATACTGCTCCGGGTGACGGAAAGCATCCGTGCACTGTGGTATCCTCCGGGGGCCTGGAAGCAGTCCCCTAGGGAGCAGGAGTGATGACTGTGTCCTTAAAGATATCGTTCCTAGTCATACCCAAATATAATGTATGTCTCTTGGGGACTTCCTGAGACTTACTGCCTTGTGTTGCTTCTCCCCACAGGCAGCTTTTAGAGCCTTAAAGTTAACTCTGCAGCTGATAGCCCCTCTCCACGACATCGTGGCCTACCTTTTCAGCATTGCTACTCTCGGCAGTTGTCCAGCATGTTTTGAGCTTCCTCTAAGTCCTAACCCTTTGAGAGGCACCTGGGGAGGAGCTGAGGACATAGGTAAGTGGTTCGTGGTGATAAAATCATGTTCAACATGCAGTTGAAACTCTGTGAGGCTCTTAACAGCTAGAAAATAGAACTATATTTTCTCATAAATGACAGTGATTAAGGTAAAGGAAAAGTCCCTGTTTCCAAAATGCATATTTGCCAGGCGTGGTGGCGCACACCTGTAATCCCAGTACTCAGGAGGCTGAGGCAGGAGGATCATCGCAAGTTCCAGACCAGCCTGGGCTACAAAGTACACCAAGTCAGGAGGCCCAGGGTTGTACTTTGCCTCTGAGTTTTGGTTATCACAAGCTGAGGACTTCAAATCCTGGTACTCTGTCCTTCCATAAAATGAGGCTGATGACACCAATCTCAGACAGTGTTCTGTGAATTGTTTGTAATGTTCTAGAACATTGCATACGGCCCCACTAAATATTGGTTTTCTTTCATCCCCTTTCCTTCCTAGTCTTTTTTAACTCACCTGGCAAGATCAAAGCCAAGAGCCGGGGATATAGCTCAGGGGCACAAGTCCCTGCCTGGCAAGCGCACAGTCCTGAGTTCAATTCCCGGTACAAAAAAAAAGAAAAAAAAGATCAAAGCCAAACATGCACAGTTAAGAAGCTTGCAGACAGCTCCTGGTTAGCAAATAACCACCTGATGGTCCTGTGCTCTGAATGATTGAGGCATTAGTTTCATATGCCCACGGCTAATCAGTGAATTTGAACTGTCAACAGGTTGTAAAATAGTCTCTTCATATACTGTTAAGACACTGTAACAGTGGGGTCTATCAGAGCAGAGAAATTGATCTTTTTTTTTTTTCTTTTGTCTTTTTGAGACAAGGTCTCACTATGCAGTTCAAGCTGGCCTTGAGCTCACTTTTTAGCCCAGGCTGGTCTCAAATTCACAATGATCCTCCTGCCTCAGCCTCCTGAGTGCTGGGATGACAGGCATGCGCCACCACGCCCAGCTGATCTTATTGACTTCCATCCAATTTGTCACTAATCATGTAAATATTAATCAGTGGCTAGCAATAACATAATAGCCAGGGATTTTAAGAATGAGAAGAGGCACTGAATTGGAGTCTTCACCTAGAAAGGGCCAAGGACACTGTGACCCCATCATTCTCTCCTCCTCCTCCTCCTGGAGGGAACCTGAGAAACGTTCCTTTCCTGTGTTTCCTGGGTGCCCCACCCCCACCCCACTGCTGCCTGGCAACCACCTGCCCCATCCTCACAGAGGATGGAGAAATAGGCCTATTTTGCTGGGCATGGTGGCGCAGTCCTGTAATCCCAGCACTCGGGAAGCTGAGGCAGGAGGATCATTGTGAGTTCAAGGCCAGCCTGGCCTACACAGTGAGCTCAAGCCCAGCCTGAACTGCATAGCAAGACCCTGTCTCAAAAAGACAGAAAAAAAAAAAAAAAAAGAGAGAGAAATAGGTCTATTTTAACCTAGCAGTTTTAAATATCATATCATCTGAATCTGTGTCCCTCTGGCCAATGCATAAAGGCAATATGTTTGTGGGAGACCATGGAGCTCGGGGCCAGAAGATTTGTATTGTGCTAACAGACCCAGAAGGACTCCGGGAACATCCCAGTGAGGGGTGGAGAAGGACATTGGTGGTGATCTGGGAGGAAGGGGGATGCCTGTCTGAGAGAGGTGTGTGCAAAGGGGGCAGCGCTGGTGCAGCCTCGGCAGAAGCACAGAACTGATACAGACCGCAACCGCTCAGAAAGACTAACACACCTTCAAGGAATACAGCAAAAGATTAGAGATCAACAGCTCTTCTAGATTCTTTCCTTTTACTAACATAACAACTGTTGTCAGCGGAACTTAAAAGACACTTAGGGGAGCTGCTGGGGGGATGTGGGGATTGAGCTTTGCAGAGGGACGGCAGCAAGGAAGACAGGTCACAAAAACGATCCTCTGCCCTTGGGATGGGGGCGGGGGCAGGTGTCAGCTACACGGAGACGACACAGCAGCTGAGAGCCAGAGCCGCCTTTCCAAACGGAGTGGCTGCATTAGCCCCACCGCAGCTGGCAGCAAGGAGCTTCTCCCACTGGGGAAGCAGGGGAGGTGCATCAGGGAAGGAAACAGGGACAAGAAAAGGACCCCGGTGAGGAGCCAGGCCAGGCTGGCTGTGGCCAGCTCAGCAGCGTGGCGCTGAGGACCTGGGGGCCATGAAGCCCAGGGGCTGAGGAGGTACAGCTCAGAACGAAAGGTACTGCTGAGTACTCCTGGTGTGCTCTAAAGCTGGCGTCCTGGGGATGGGAGCTCAGTCTTTCCGAGGAGTGCAATTAGAGACAGCACCTTGAGGTGGCTGTGAATAACAGCCTTCCGCCCCAGGGAGAAAGTGCACGCTCTGATTCCCTGAAGACAAATAAAGAGCAAGCTGAACTAAAAACAAAACAAATTAACAACAACAAAAGATAAGGCCGGGGATATAGCTTAGTGGCACAAGCACCTGCCTGGCCAGCACAAGGTCCTGGGTTCGATTTCTGGCACACCAACAACAAAATCAGAAAAGATAATCATCTTTTAAGAAAGGCAAACCAGCTTAGTTCCTGGCGTGTTCCCAGAGGAGGCAGGGAGGACTAAGTGAGCTGGAAGGACAGTACTCCTTTTAGCCATTTCCGACCTATTTGGAGATAGATAGATAGACACTTAGGGGAGCTGCTTGGCTTTTACGGATTGAAATGCTTTATAATATTGTTAAGAGGGATACGCAGAATTTCAGCTTTTAGTCTTCTCCCTTGACCCAAGGAAGCAGCTCTTAGTCCGTCAATCAGCTCTGTGGTTGCAGCCAGATTCTCTCCTTCCCTGGAAGCCGCAGCCAGCCACTCCCTCCAAAGTCCGTGAGAGCAGAGCGTAGAATCAGGATGTGGGAGTCGAGGCTGAGGTTTTTTTGTCGAGCCACTCAGTTAAAGCTGCATTTAGGGCTTCAGGAACTCAAGACACGAGACAAAGGGCACTGGAGTGCAGTTGGGGCCACTGTGACACCTCCCCATCACTCTCTCCTCCTCCTCCTCCTCTTCCTGGGGGACACCGAAATGTTTCCTGGATGCCCCAGGCCCCACCCCCACCCCCACCCCACTGCTGCCTGGCAACCACCTGCCCCATCCTCACAGCCAGGCTGCTTTACCTGCCTACCTCGGCCACCTCCCTGCCCACCAAGCAACCTGACCCTATGAAGAAAGGAAAACCAGTGCCAGGCATGGTGGTGCATGCCTGTAATCCCAGCACTTGGGAGGCTGAGGCAGGAGGATTGTTGTGAGTTTGAGACCAGCCTGGGAAAGAGAGCTCAAGGCCAGCCTGAACTGCAGAGCAAGACCCTGCCTCAAAAAGACCAAAAAAAAAAAAAAAAAGAAAAGAAAAGAAAAAAGAAGAAAGAAAGGAAAGCTGGAGAGAACATTTTTAAGTCAGTGGAAAACAAAGTCAGGTGAGTTCTCACTTCCAGAGCCGTATTTTAATGATCATGCCACCTCTCAGCGTATAACTATTCTGCTGGAAAATGATCAACTTGCAAAGTATACAGATCAGCTATCATCCAGCCACTCTAACAAGCGCAATGTTTGTGTTTGTCTTTACTCCCTTCTAGCCCCTGCCCAAGTGCATTTTACATTTATATCTTAGGGCGCTGTGACCGCAGGACATGTGCAGTTGTGTGTTCTCCTGCCCTCACTGTCCCTGCAGAGGGCCATAAACTCCCCCCCCCCCCCCCCCCCGTTGCCACTCAGCCGCACAGCCTGCTGCTTGCAGACCAGACACACTGGGCCTCCAGCAAGTGAGGCCCAGGGACCACCCTTCCCCCCGCCAACAACCGCAGAAGCGTCCCTACCACCTGCTCTAATGTCTCTCCTCTTTGGGCGGACACTTCGGCCCCCACGGACCATCAGATCTAGAAGAGTCATAAAGAATTTGATGAGTGGACCCAATTATTTGGGGGCTGGAAAAAGCACAAGACCGCTGTGCTGCTGTGTGTAAAATGTCAAACAGAGATGCGGTCTGCACTGTGGGTCTTGCCCGAAAGCCAAGAGAATATATGGGGAGAGTCAGCACCTTGCCAGTATCGGCAGCTTTTCTCATCCGGGACCTGCCCTGATTAAGGCTCCTGCGTGGCGTCTTCACTCCCACGACCCCTGCCTTCCCGGCAGGTAAACGCTGGAGAAGGCCCAGTACTGCGCCAGATCAGGAAGAAAGCGGCCTGTGTCTGCGTGAGCTACCCTAAGACAGAGCAGCTCCGCCACGCCCTGCGGCTCGTCCTCCTCCCTCCTCCTTGAGCTACAAATGGACAGTGGTCGGTTTCCTCCCATAACAGGGATGTCCTTCTTGGCTAGAAAGCTGTCCCTGTCCTCCCAGGAAGCTGAGGAGCATGTTAAGCCAGCTGGCATTCTGGCAGCCCTGTGAGCATGCGCCCACCAGGCTCCCTCCCTGAGAACGCAGGAGTTTTTGCGGTGCTCACTCCTTCTACGTGATCCATTCCTTCCCTGGGCCAATGATGGAGCGCCCGGGACAGCCGTGCAGATGCAGGCCGGGTTCCTTCGCCCAGCACAGAGTGTTCTCAAAGGCCTCTCAATTAAATTTTCATCTAAAGCGTGTACATATTTACTTAGATGGGGCCTAATTTTGCAGTATGTGCCCAAGAAATATACCAAAAAGGGGTCTCCCACACCTTTTTCCAAAAATGACTAGAATCTCCCAGAAGAACATGCATATATATGCATGCACATATGTCATATGTGTCTCTGTGTATATGTGTACACACACACACACACACACACACTTTTTTTACTTGCCTTGGATCGTCTCGCGTCTCTGTCAGCCCCGGAGCCGGTGACATCAGGGGCTGGTTAGGGTGGCGTGGCAGTGACAGTGGCAGCTGTTTATAATTTATAATGTGTAGGTCCCTGGATATACTGAAGACCGTGCTTTCCCATTCCCTGTAATTTCTCTGTTCGTTCTATTTTGAGACCATAGCCTTGTGAACTGTAAAACTGTCTTTCAACAGTGCGTTCATAACGCGCTAAAAAAGCAAAGCAAGTTTTTATCTTCTTCAGGAAGGAAGGAAAAAAATAAATCAGACCTTAGGTGCTACAGCATAAGCTTTTGCTGTTCTTGCAAAACGTATGATTAGTTCACCCACGCAGAAAGGGAAATCCGTGAGGTGACAAGCTCCGGAGGGGAAACTGACGCTTCCTGGGCGGGCAGGCCCTCCTCGCCAGCATCTCACCCTGTCCCAGACTCAAATGCTGTCCTCTTCCAGGGGCTGAGCTTCAAGAGCTGCAGAAAATGCTCGACAGCCTCGAGGACCCCCAGGACCCTGCCCAGGTGGCCCAGGCCCTCCTCCTCCGCAGGGAGGTTCTCTTTCTGCAGTTCGACGGTGCTGTGAGGCACCTCACGCGGTAAGGGCTGCTGCTGTTTCCACCTGGTCAGTTCCGCTGGGCAGGTCTTCACTGAGTGCCCATCTCAGGAGGCCGCTCTCGGCAAGATTAGATGTCAGCTTAAAATAGGGCACAGATGGATCAGAAGGCTGTTCCCAAGCCTGTCCTGCTGTCTGTGTGGCATATATTCTGACAATCTTGATAGTACTGAATGTAATTCCAGAATAAATTGTATAATAATTTTTACTTTCAATATCCAGGTGATTTTATGACAGTAAACATTTTACAATACTGAAAATTACTAAGTTTCATTTAGTTGTTGTTTTTTTTTTAATTTTTATTTACTCTTCAAAGGAACAGAATTTTTCCTGAACTTCTGAAGCTAATGAAATTGGCTACTAGAGTTAAATTTATAAATAAGTAAATCTAAATGGGCATAATAGCAGCACTCAGGAGGCTGAGGCTGGAGGACTGTTGTGAATTCAAGGCCAGCCTGGGCTACATAGTGACACCCTGTCTCAAAAAAAAAATTTTTTTTTAAAGTAAACAAAAAATAAATAAATATGCCTGTAATCCCAGCACCGGGGAGGCTGAGGCAGGAGGATCGTTGCAAGTTCAAGACCAGCCTGCGCTACAAAGTGAGCTCAAGGCCAGCCTGAACTGCATAGTGAGACCCTGTCTCAAAAAGACAATAAAAAATTAAATAAACAAATAAATCTACCACTAGCCTGGCAGGAATTATTAAGTGTTCTCCCTACACAAAAATGTTTTATTTGGCTACTCAATCATGGTTCCAGTGTGATTTTTTTTGTTTGTTTGTTTTTAGTTTTTTTTGGTACCAGGAATCAAGCTCAGGACCTTATGCTTGCCAGGCAGGTGCTTGTGCCACTGAGCTATATCCCCAGCCCTCCAATGTGATTTTGATTGAGTTTGAATTAAGGTTTACACTGTTCCCAGGATAAATTTTTTATGGGAAGGGAGTGGAGTTGAGTCAGGCCTGAGCGTCTCTGCTTAAATTGTCAACATTCAGGGCTGGGGATTTAGCTCAGCGGCAAAAGTGCCTGCCTGGCAAGCGCAAGGTCGTGAGTTCGGTTCCTGGTACCGGAGAAAAAAAAAACAAAAACAAAAAAAACCAATAAATTGTCAACATTCATTAACTTCTTTTGATTAATTCTTAGTGTGTGTAGCCAGTGAGGGCCCTCAGATGCCTGTGGATTGCACTGTTTTCCGCCGTTATCTTTGAGCTTTCATAGAGAATGGAAATGGGGGGTTGTACTGAGTGAACTATATGTTTCTCTTTCTAACTCTGCATTTTCTTTTTTTTTTTTTTTTTTTTACTCTGCATTTTCTTTACCTTGCCAGGATACTGTTGGATTTACAATGTAAATTTAGCAGGACAAAAAAAAGTCATACTAAGTTCTTTTCTTGGGCCAGGAATGTAGCTCAGCAGTACAAGTGCCTGCCTGGTAAGCACAAGGTCCTGAGTTTGATTCCCAGTACCAAAAAAAAAGTTATTTTCTTTTTATTGACAAATAGCTTCCTATTTGTTAAGCAGGTGGGCTACAAAGGCTATAATTTATATATTCTTTCTTTA